CGCGCGCGTGTGAGTGCATTTTGTCGATTCTATACCGTTACGTGTTTTCGTCCGCCGTGTAATGTATCGTCAAAGTCGCGTTAGAAACGATCACCGTAAAAGTTCGCGAAAGAAAGTGCCGCTATAAATTCACGTAAGCGTCGCGCCAAGAGAAAAGGAGAGTCGTATCGATGCGTTTAATGCGGTCAAATTGCCAGCCGCCACTTTACTTCTCAGACGATGCTCGTCGCGCGCAGAGGTTTTTAAGAAATTTTTTTTTTTTTTGCTTTTTTTATTTCTCAGTGTTTTTTTTGTTTTTTTTTTTACTTCTCACGTGGATTTAATACGGATCCACTCCGCGATCTGTGTGATATGCCATTGTTGACGCGAGTGCGATTGTGCGACACAAACATGGTCGTTGTTGCCGTAACCACAACATGTAACTGTGTTACCTTTATCATAGCACGGTCATTGTAGCAGCAGCTACTTGATTGTTGTCATTCCGACATCAAAGCGTCATCAGCAAACAGCGTGTTGCGACCTGATGCAACTTTTATCCGATCCGCCTTCAAACTCCCTATCGATCTGACACGCCCCTTCTTTATTTTCCTCTCCGTCTTTTAAAACTTATCGCGATACGAGGACAGGGAGAGAGAGAGAGAGGAAGGAAGAAAGAAAGAGAAAGAGAGTGAAAACTGATGAGTTTTTTTTCTACGAATAAAATTATATATAGTCAGAAAAAAGACAGTATTTTATAGATAAAATATAATTTTTAATGTAAATTTTGATATTAATATTTCAAAAGAGTACGTACTCTTCGTGTTTTTGTAGATTCGAAATTGCAATTCAATTTCTTTATCCTTCACTGTCGTCGGCACTGTCGAAGTTCTTGCGTTAATTATTGACGGCGCGATTAATAACTTTCAGATCCAGAGGCAACGAGGGCCATAACGGTTCGTTGGCTTACGTGAGGTTTATTGAGCTAACATTGGCTGACGTTACGATTGCGGAACATCGTATTGCCAAAATCGATTGCTTCGCTTATGGCAAGGCACGGAAAAGGGAATAAGGGCACCCCGAGTGATGTCATTAGGTATTACCTATATTATCGCGAATTTTCCTCTTCCAGTCGCGTTTTCAACTTTCCTTTTATATATATGCGCCCGATATTAGGACATTAATATTCATAATATTTGATTTTGCAAACGCACACGCGAGTGTTCCGCGTGACAAATTACGTTCGAGAATTAAGCGCATAGGAACTTGGGCTTTGCCGTTAATGTAGGATGATCTAAGGAAGCTCGCTCTCAAACTCTTGTTTGCTAACTCAGCTTATAATATCGGTGTTATCAGGTAATTTTCACGATCGATTGATTACTTGTATCCCATCCTCGAAGTTTCCTCTTACTAAACTTACATCCCTTAATAGAATTAAAATGTAATATTGATGCGCACGCGCGCGCAAGTTACATCGCCCCCATCGTTTCGGAATTGATGCGAAAAAGTGAAACACTCGTTTTCGGAAACGAGAGAAAGGGTGTCCCCGCTGGGGGGAGGGAAAACGAAAAAAACAGAAACGTAATTCTAAGCGCGCGCTCAACAACGGTTGACGAAACATTCGTTCCGATTACTGAAATTTTCGTTACGTTACGCCGCAGAGGAAAACTCATGAATATGGATTAAAGGAACTCCGATGTGTTTACAACGTGTTGGATAGTTCTGTACGTTTGATCGCGGTCGGCAATCGTCTCGATTGGACGTTTCGTTTCGCGCAAAAACGAGAAAATTCCATCCCCCGATGCTTCGTTTATTTCGTCTACCCGATGCCCGTGATAGTATACTGATCGTTTCTAGCTACCTCCTACCTTCCTCCCCACATTCGCGCTCGCAATCTACGTGTCGTAATTTGCTCAATCGTTCGATCTCTTTCTGGCCCCGGCAGACTTTCTCTCCGCTGCCAGATCGCGCGCGCGCTATCGAATGTGGGCGGGTAGAACATTAGTTACCGGTAACAAGCGCGCGGAACAAGTACGTTACAACGTACCGAGGGCATGTTCTACACAACCATAAAATACGCGTCACACCATACTATTTGTGCGAGCCTCGCAGCCTAGGCGAGGATTTGTTTATCGGCTCGCTGACAAGGATTCCGAACAGGCGTCGTATCGGGATGGATCGGATCGTGACCGGCTTTTCGAATACCCTGTGTATGTATAACGCAATCATATCCCCCTTTCCCCCCATTGTACAATCGCCGCTCACGTAGGACGCGTGTGCAATTGTTTCGAACTTGCAACTCAAGTGTGACAACTCAAGTGTATAACACGGCGAAATTTACGTAACGACAAAAACGCGCTCACTTAACGTAGTACGTATATTTATATATATGTAAGTAATATTAGTTGAGTCAGTTATAAATATTTGTCGTCCGGCTGTTTACTGATGCGTTTATTTCCGGTTTTTTTCGGCGACACAACGGCGTTTATGTTGATTCTTCCGGCCACTGAATTCTCTCCCTCAGTTGTCTCTCCGTGATTTCGCGCCGTTTCGCTGATTCGCGCTCAGTTTGTCTAGGCGAAACAGTGAGAGAGAGACAGAGAGAGAGAGAGAGAGAGAGAGAGAGAGAGAGCGGTTAGATATTTACAAGAGACTTTTATTCGTGCTCGCGCGTCGCCGAGCCGCAACTCATTACCGGGCGCCGGCACCTGCGCCAGATGGCAAAATAATTCGAAACTTTTGCGAATAAACGACGAAGGTTTTCGGTTTACCGGCTTCGGGAAAACCGAAAATTGCTTGTCCTATCTTACTTAGTTTCTTCCACGAGGAGGCGAGGCGTGTGGAATCGTAAGGCACACAAAAGACCTTCGCCGGATCGGAAAAATGGGAACGTTATAGGTAACCGTGGAAGGTGACAGCCGGTGAAAAAGCTGCCACGGGATCTGGCGAAACTCCGAACTTGTCGGATAGATTCGTTAGAGCAAGCCGGAGCTCCTCTTCCACTCTCTCTCTCTCTCTCTCTCTTCCTCTCTCGTGAAAGCTCTGACTAGCGCGCATCGTGTTTTCCGTCCCGAACTTCCGGCCAAATTGAATCACACGGAATTTCGCGGTAACAATCTTCTGTTTGACTTCGAGCGACCGGTTGATTTACTCCGTGTTCCACAGAGATCGACGCGGTAGTCGTCGGGAGGCTTGGCGATCTTGTTCCTCTCATTGAAACGGGTTCGAGCTTCTTCAGCATAACTTGATCACGACGTATTCGAGGAGGAGATCGCGACGCGGAGGCCGTACGCGGATGATGCCGAGAAATAACTTTTTGCGTCGGGAACATTTTTGCGAATTCGTTTCGACGTGAATATCTCGCAGAGAAGTAAAAGGAGAAAGATGATTTGCGACGAGTTTTCGATACACGCGCGCACGCGAAAGATCGATATCTCGTAAAAATGTGTAAAACAATAGGCAAATACGTTTTGCCGATATTTTAACACGCATTTCACGTACATTGCTAATGCATAAAATTTGCAACGCAATATCAATACGCATTAATATGCGAGCAAGCATTATTACACAGTAAAAAAAAAAATGTTAATTTTAACATTTTTTGCATGTCCCAGGAGGTCCACTCTAAATTTTAAGTTAAAACAACTTATTCGTTGTGAGTCACTTATTGACAAACTAGTAAAGT